AGACTCAATATAGTGTTCAAATTGTTAGTACATGTCGGTAATTACCCCATTTATCGGATTCCGTAAAAAACTTGAAACACGAAGATTTCCGTGTTTGGCGGTCAAGCGTTGTGTTGTCAAACACAGAAATCTCCGTGATTGGTGGGCAGAGCTTTAAGGATAATAGTATGGTTTTCTATGTAAACATCCAATAAAACTACCGTACATGGTGTCATTAGAAAGGTAATTATACACTGATCAATTAATTCCATTATACCTATATCATATAAAGCGTTTTAACAGAAACCAGTAAAAAAGTCACATGACCACAAAGTGTCAAAAAATCAAACTCTCCAAAAGCTATCTTTTGTAGCTTTTTATATATTGTCCAGATAAAAATAATGGCACCTATTTTTTTTGATTCAGCACACCAAAATGATAAAATCAGCCAATAAAATCCATTTTGGCACAAAAATCCAGCTGAGCCAAATATCTGACATAGCAGACCATATTCTAAGTTTATCAACCTCAGTACAAAAGTTTATAATAAAATTGTTTGGATTCCAGAGAACTAATGATGAAAATGGTTTCTCTTTCAGTTCTCTTCAGAACTGTGTAAACATTCCCAGCATGCAACACAATCTGTGCATAAATTTTCCCAGTCTTCCTAATAAAAATAACTTCTTGTGAGTGTAAGATTATGTTGAGTGAACGTAATATGAAAACAGAGTTTAAAAAATATTTTTCATTGAAATGAGAAAAAAATATGACATATTATCAAAAAACATTCTTTTCAAAACAGCTATTTCAATTTCATATTGGAAAGTTGTTAACATTCCCAGAGCCTAAACATGGGCAATTCAAATTTTCTTTGGATTTTGTGGTTTCTAAGTAGAGTATTGATGAATGTTGACGCATGTGGTTCTGTTGGTGGAACAAGTCTTCTCGGATAAGGACTATAAACTGTAGGCCCATTGTACACAATTGGCTCATGTGCCTTTTAAAGAACCCAGTACATCTTTCAAGACAAGTAGGGGGTTACCCCGGTGTACTGGTCCATACATACCCTGTTACCCTGCGCTTACTAACCATTAGGTCCTTTGCAGGATGTACCTATTGTACATAAATATAAACGAAGGCTATGCCGCTATTTGAACAGGAAATAAATTCAATACTTTCACAAGTATTACAATTTTAACTGCTTTGTGTTAGAAATGAAAACATTCTGAGACTTCTTTATCTTATGAATTGTCTGGAGCCAATGTGATTCCTTTGTCTGCTCCAGCATGTACATGTTATGGACTACTAACTAACGTTATGGCAATTATAATGGCCTATGGCTATTTGAACACTATTATAAAACACTCATTTTGATATATCTTTGTATCTTTACTTCATAAAATAATTCAAACTATAAAAATAGATTTGTAGCCAATGGCTGAATTGGTGCTACCTGCGTATAAGACGACCCCCGAGTTTGAGAAGATTTTTGGACAATTTGTGTATGTCGGGCGTATAAAACAACCCCTCCCCCCATTTCATCGTCTGAATTTCTCTTTTTTTTTTTGCTTTTTATGGTCCTGTACCGGATATTGCATCCAACTGGCCAAAAACGAAGCAAAATGCACGGCTAATCTTTCCAATAATACCATTTTATGAGTTTTCAATCTTCATCATAATCTTATTTCCCTGTATTTAAAATTGCATTAATTCATACTAAGATGCAGCAGTCAATTAGCGTGTTACGCACGTAAGACGAACTTGATTTTAAAAACCTAACATTTGTATGTCGTGTGTATAAGACGACCTTCTGCTTTTCGATCGTATACTTGCTATTTTAAGCCTCTTCTTATATGCGAGTATATACGGTACATCAAAATAGAGATATGCACTCTCCTGATGTTTGTGTAATAATATGATGATTGGTATTTTTTTATGATTTAGTGGTTTACAGACGTTAACCAGAAGGTGATGTTAGCTAATGAACAACCAGTACCTATACTATTGATAGCAAACAAGGTAGGCCTATTATATCTATTGTTGGAAATTAATATATGCAGAACTAAGCTACTGTTCTTTCATTGTTTAAATTGATTAATTGAGTTAAACAAAAAATAGACCTACCAAATAATATTAATAATAATAGTATTTCTTTCTATTTAAGAGAAACAGTACAAAATGAGATTAAAACATTTCAAATCGAGGCTTTGAGGTGTCATGATCCTCATCATCGTCATCATTGTCGTCACCATCCAGGGGCAGGCTTAGAAGGTCCCTGCTTTTGGAAAGTTAAAAAAAGAAAGAAAGAAAGAAAAAAAGACATTATTTTTGGGTGTCTAGAAAACAAAAAAAAATTGCGGACCTCCTAGGGTAGTGTTGTCTCGATCGGCTCCACTTTTGGCCTCCTTTTGGACATCTCTGGATCTGCCCCTGCCATCATTTACAGTCTCCAGAAGGAGATCACCATTTCCACAGCATCATTGCCTATCAGTATGCTGTTCTTGACATCATTGGATTTTGGAGCTGTTTTAAGTTTAAAAAGAACCTGGGTGTGTTAGTAGCGGCAGTTTGGCGCAGCGGTTGAGGTTTGGGTTTCAATCGTAAGGTCGGGGTTTCGAGTCTCCACTGTGCAGATTTGCTTGTGTCCTTGGGCAAGGCACTTTAGCTACATTGCTTCAGTTCACCCAGCTGTATCAATGGGTACCAGCAAACTGCTGGGGACTAACCTGCGATGGACTAGTGTCCCGTCTAGGGGGAGTACAACGCTCATCCGCTTCACACTACAGAACCTGGGGATAAGCTCCAGCCCTATGAGCCCCAGTGGCTCAGAAGGGATTTAGTTTAGTAGGTTGTGTTACAGGGTTTGAACCCAAGAAGATACATCCACCAAGCTCAGCTCTCCTCCACAACCATAGTCACTATATTGATCATAATGACCATAGTCACTATATTGATCATAATGTGCTTTTCATATTTCAGAGTGACCTCTTGACTAATTCTTTGGATGAAGCCTCTTTAGACACTTTCTGTAAACAGCACAACTTTATAGGCTGGTACACCACTTCTGCAAAAGACAACAAGAATATAGGTAATTAGATTTATCATTTATACTTTAAAGTTGGGCACCCACGTGACGACAGTCGTCAGCTGAATCGATTCCATAAAAAATTGGTTGTTTTAACAATGATCTGCTCAGTCAGCCACCAAGAATCAGCAAATGAAGAAGGATTCATTGGCTGATTCAGTGGCTTCTCAGCTAATTAAATTCCATATAATATTTATTGATTTCCTTTGTATCAGATGAGATGTAGTACATTTTATCTCGATATGGTGAGGCTTTTTTTATACCTTGTTTAGCGAACTAGCCGACCGCTAATAATGGTGATTCTGAATAAAAATACAATTTTGTCCAGGTAGCGCACCCACCATTATGAATAAGTGGAAATTTCATTGAAAAATGACATTTTTTATTTATTTTTATTACAGCCTCCACTCCCCTGAAATTTCCAAATATAATACATATATATATTTCTTCCTTAATTTTATAGATTTAAAGAATTTTATCAACTAAACTTTTTAATTAATTAATAAAATTTTATGTGTATTTTCTCTTCCGCCTATTTTTAACAAACACATTTTGCTAAATGAGAAAACAAAATTTAATTTTTATTTATTTTTCTGCCCTCCTCTAACAATCTTTAAAAAAATAAGTTTGTGAAACAAGGTATAAAAAAGTCTTGTCTATGGTACAAATAACAAATATATTTATTCGCCTCATCATCTTGTTTATTATTTTTTAATGACAGATCAAGCAATGCATTTCTTGGTAGAAACCATTTTGTCATTAACCAGCAATGGTCAACAACCAGAGGAACATATTTCACTGCATCAAGACACAAACTATCTACAAACAATTGAAGAAGAGGAATACAATGCAAATAGTTCATGCTGTAGTAAAAATTAGGAATACTACTTCTTTACCCTAACTCTTGTTTACCCCTACCCATTCCCACCCAAGGAGACTACCACCTGAGGAACAGGTTTAAGTACAGAAGAACTGTCTACAAACAGTTGAAGAGGAATACAGTGGAAGTTGAAGCCAATCTCTACCAAAATGAAAACAACCAGATGAACTGGATTTAGTACATGTAGTGTAATGGATATATGTAGGGCTTTTATACTGAAGTTTCAAATCGCTTGAGGTGTGGACTACCTCGTGCAGTAAATTGCTTCTCCCCTAAGAGTCTTTTCTTGTCTGAGCTAAACCAGTACCAGGTACTCATGTCTGTCCACAACATGAAGACAAGAAAACTGACTCTCACTGTTAATGGTTTCCAGATTGTGGCTCTAAGATACGTTGAAAGGGAAGGGGGAAATGCTGTCAAAGAAGGGGCTCTTACATTTGAGGTGGAGGAGCCTTGGGGCTCGAATTAAGATACCGGTGTGTGTGTGTGGTGCACTAAGGAAGCCTAATTTGTCCTGATATGTTCTAAAACTTATGCCCATTGTATCATAGGCAGTTTCAATTTAATTACTGGTCCAACACATCTTGGCCAGCACTGAACTTGGCTTGTCCAACAGGTGGGTTGACCTCCCCCCACCCCCTTACTGAATCTTTTGAATAGAAAAAAGGAATACGTATCAGACAAGCACGTATGATTTCGATGCAATGTAATTTTACTAAACTAAAATTAATTTTAGAGGTAAGAGTGTAATTTTAAAATATATTATGTCTTTTGTACTTGGTCAACCAAACACTAAAAAAGAGTTCGATTTTTAAGCTAATGTAAGTATCTGCGTTTTTAGGTCACAAAAACTAACATTTTAAAAAAGAATAGAAAAATATTAAATTTATTAATTAATTAAATATATGTGATGGTCAAATTATGTTAAAATGTATATTTCACTCTGATTTCATTTTGCACATATTGCATAAAAAAAGATGTATTAAATTTAATTATCAAAATAATCGTTATTGCTTCCAGCCTTTTAATTTTTTAAATGATCATTTGTTATTAATAAGTTAAATATTAGAACTGTAAACCGTTAAACTGTCAATTTGCTTACTTTGTATATAAGTATGAAATTAATCTTTCAATTATAAATTAAAAAACAAGAAAATATTTCCTCAGTAATTTGCAGAGGCATTTAATTACTATATACTGTCTCATATATGTTTAATGTGTGGAGTAAGTTTAAACTTATATTTCCTATACAGTATTGTATTGTCATTATGTTAATACTGTTCATATTTAAGCCAAAATATGTGAGTATAAGTGTTATCTGGAATAATATATTGTGAATCTTCTCTTCGCATAATGCAATGGTTTATAACCAATCCTCAAATATGACCACCATTTTAGTTTGTTAAAAGAAAAGTGTAGGAATATGATTCAAAGTTCCCCAAGAGGGGTGGTGTTCATGCTACACATGAACATTATAATTTATGATAATATAATAATGGATAATAGTGCCAATTACAAATTTAAATTATGATTTCATAACTTAAACCTTTATGAAAAAAAAAGGAAAGAAGAAAGGAAGAACCAGTGGTGGTGCTAGAGGGGTGTCATGTGGCAATATTCTTTTTATTCGGACAAATGTATACCCTCCAGTGCCCTATAACACTACGGAGTTCTAATGCCAATTGAGATCATTGGACCAAACATGTTTTGCAGATCCAACTAAAGTTGTATTACAGTTCTTATTTCAGTCTAAAAGCACAATTTTTATCATCCTAGCCCATAAAACCACCTCCTTAACCCCCACCAGGGGTTTACTCGACAAAATGTCCGTTGGTTCCAACATCTTGTCAGACTTCCGAAACCCCCTGCCAACAAATGTCTGGTGCCATCACTGGTGAGGACAGACAGCACGACAGACAGAATTAAGTCGCACTGATTGTGACTTCAGCTCTATTATATATATATATATAATAATTAATGATTTTAAAAGTATTAAATATTAATATTTACCAATTGCAATGCAATATTTAAATAATTAAATTTCATAATACATGATTAATATTTTTTTCCTTGAATTGCAGCATGTGCTTAATAATAAAAGCTATTGATACAAAGCAATGTTTCTGTCTGAGAAAGTTTTTGATACAGTATACTGTAAGTGTGTTCTAAAAATAATGTAAATTGGAATCGTCAAACTTAAATTGCACCCTCTACATATATTGATTGACAACTTCCAATGAAATTGGATATGAAGGCCTACACTCAATCAGTACCTCCGTTACCCAGATGTTTCCAACCTTGAATATTTCTACAGAATCATCTATGCTACCTTTAAGCTGCTTTTAATCTAAGGAATTTAATTGCATTATGAGTATGTATTAATGAGAGATTTTTTTTCTCTGTGCAAAGTCATATGCAGTGTTTGACTTCGTAATTTGTAAAAAAATTTTTACGGTTATTCTGATTCTAAGTACAACTATTCATGGAGTAGGCTTACTATTTCGATCAAAGATTTTTAAAATGAAATATTCAGGTAATAATGATGTAGGCATTAATATAGTGTTTTACATATTTTTATACAGTAGTATTATTACATATATTTATATCCATATTTCCAAAAACAGAGTCTAGGATAGATACATTCTTTTAAAAAAAATGTATCTCTCTGGTGATAAAATACATTTTTTTTGCGGAATGAAAAATTAAAGAAAAACTTAATTTACAAATACATTTATTAATATCACGTACATACATTGTACTACTTAACCCACCATTTCTGATGATGACTGAGGCCGAGGCATAGCTCTGAAGGCACTAATGGCGTTCCATAGTTCAATAGGGGCTTCACCTTCTTTCTGCCTCCACGTAGTTGATCAATTATATATGAAGCCTAAATAACAAAACCCAGCGAGTTGTTTAATGTTATCATGCAACCTCACTAATCGATCTGCATTTTCTAACGGCGTGATGCAAAACCAAAACAAATGGATCAATAGTTAATACCTCCAGGTTTGATGAAATAGTTCTGTGTACAAATAGGCCTATTATCGGTAAGTGTTCAAAATAATTATAACTCCATGGTGTAGTAGGGTAGCCAGGAGGGTCCAGTCTTAGGCCTGGCCGAGTCTGCCTGTATATGGAACGCCTATCATGATGATAAAAATTCGGTCACACAGGCTGTTAGTCACACGAGACCTTTGGTCACACAGGTCCTGCGGTCATAGGTCTTTCTGACATCACACGGGACCTTTGAACGTCACGCAGGTCCTTAAATTTCAACATTTTTATTTTTTATTTTTCTCTAATTCTAGATATGGAATCACCTATCAAACCAGGTTGCACTTCAACATCACCTGTGATTAAAACTATTGAAATGCATACAGGCGGTGAACCCCTTCGTGTGATCATATCAGGATATCCTGAGATACTCGGTGACACCATACTACAAAAGAGACAATATGTGAAGGAGAATCTTGATCATTTACGCAAGATGCTCATGTTTGAGCCACGAGGTCACTATGACATGTACGGAGCTCTGCTAGTCGACTCAGACCTCCCAGAAGCTGATATCGCTGTATTATTCTTACACAATGAAGGTTACAGCACTATGTGCGGGCACGCCATAGTCTCTCTTGGGCGATTAGCCATTGATAAAATGTATGTCCCACCAACAGAGCCCGAAACAGAAGTGAACATTCAGTGTCCGTGTGGACTAGTCAAAACTTTTGTTGAGTACAAGAATGGTAAATCTGGAGGTGTACGATTTCATAGTGTACCAGCATTCTTGTTTGCTTCAGGTAAGAACTTAAAAAAAAAAAAGAAAAAAAAAAAAAGAAGGAATAATAATGAAAATGGAAATCAAATTATATAGTGCCTTAAAAAAAATTAAGACTCATCTCAAAGAAAAAATGAAAGAAAAAGGGAAAATAAGAAAACTAACCCATGAACTATGGAGAAGAATCACAGTAAGTAAAAACCAGTATCACTGCACCGTTCTCCAGCAATTTGAGACACATGGCCAGTACTCACAGGTGGACCGTGCTCTAGTGATACTGGTGACTAACCTCCTTATATAGAGTGGTTGTTGTGTAGAAAACTTGCAAGGTAAAAGGAACAATTCGTTGCTTCAATGCTAAACAAAACATGCTTATTTTTATGTTACCTTTTCAGGTATTTGACTTTTGGAAGAACAAAGAAAGTATAGTTAAGTTATAAATTGGTTCTTGGCAGAAACCTGAAAGGAACAGTTTTTTCCTCTAAAATGTAACGTTGCTTTTTTTTGTGTTGAGATCAAAATGTTTGTTAAATTGGCTTTTTCCAGGTATTGAGGTAGAAGTTGATGGCTTTGGGAAGATCAAGGTAGATATAAGCTATGGTGGTGCATTCTATGCATTTGTGTGTGCGGATGTATTTGGGTTAGATGTTAGAAGCTCTCCTACAAGTAGCCTCAAGGATGTAGCAACAGCAGTCTCGAACGCTGTCAGAAAACGAGTGAAACTCCATCATCCCGATGATAGTGACCTGGAATTTCTGTACGGTACCATCTTAACGGACGGTCAGGACAAGTGGTCTGGTGAACCGACGGCTAACATCTGTGTTTTTGCCAATGCTCAGGTAAGATTGTAATCTGCGAATTAATAAAAATACAGGATTTCAACCCAAGATCGTGGTAATGGAAGGCAAGCATCTTAACCACCAACTTACAGTTCCACAATTTCTTTTCTATTCCAGGTTGATAGGTGTCCAACAGGATCTGGTGTTACAGCAAGAATAGCTTTGCAGCATGCTAAAAGTCTTATACAACTGGGCCAGAAAAGATTGTTTGAAAGTGGAGCGAACAAAACATTGTTTACAGGAATGGCCGTCAAACAAACAAAATGTGGAGACTTTGATGCGGTAGTGGTTGAGGTTGCAGGGCATGGGTACTACACTGGCGAAGCCAGTTTCATGCTAGAGGAGGAGGATGTTGTTGGAAAAGGATTCTTACTACGTTAGGCAAATTTCACTGCAAACTTCTTACAGATAATTTTTTTAAAGAAGTAAATACTGTACCAATTATAATACATTTTATATATTAAATCTAAAACCTAAATGTAGAAGTTAGTATAGCATTGTTTGCCAAAGTGCAAAGCTGTACTGATATTCTGTTTGGAATAGAGTGTTTCTACTGTAAGACACTGACATTAAATATTGTGGTTGGATTTCCAGATACCCATGTAACTCTTGAGTTACAGGAGATTCAATGCAGATTCATCATCGAATTTGAGATATTATTGAAGCACTAAGTACTTTCAAGCATACGTATATTCTATATATTAAATCTAATTATAGAAATCTAATATAGTGTCTTGCCAATAATTTTACAGTTGTTTGGTTTGGGGTTCAGTGTTATTACAAAATTCACCCTAAAAATACTATATTATCCTTGTTTGATCCATTGATGTATTGTGCTTAAACAAAGGTTTAAATGAAACCAAAAAAATATGGGCCAGACTTCCTAGGGGTGCATCTAACAGGAGGGACACGAGCCCACTCCCCGCGTTTTGCCACTACATTTTTAAACGTCAATGTGTACCAGTCTGTATTGAAGTAAGAGAATAGGGTACAAATACAAAATGTTTCAATAGTTTGTCTGGCCCCTTTGTTATTCCACTGCTGCTCCCCATTTATATTCTGATGATTTGGTGCCTTCCCCTCCCACCCCGTTTGAAAATTTATTTGCTTTTAGATGTGTATAAGAGACACCCCCACCTCCATTTCCACCGCACGTAAAACAGAAATAGAGCTCAACATTCCATCAAATTTGGAAAAAGAAAGTGACAAAACTGACCAACCAAATGTCACACTAAGAAAATCGCTAAAATTATAAATGAACGTGGAGAAATGAAATGCAACCCGCTCTTTTAAAAAACGTCCCTTTGAAAAAACACCCCATCCATGGCCTCATCTGGAATAAACGCCTCCCTCGAATAAAGGCCCCCGGGCGTTTATATTTTTCCTTGAATAAGCGCCGCCCCCCCCCCCCCCAACTAAATGACAAACAAAACTAGAGTTTCTATGAATGAAGTCAGACAAAACTAATGGAAGCAACATCATTCTCAACACATTCTATTAATGTTCTACTTCAGTAGAATTACGTTTTTTTTTTCAAACCTGGTTGGATTAATAAGTCTCATGATTATTATTATTAAGAAACATTTTAGCGCCTTTACAAAAATGGTAGGCGCTGCATGGACCAACATTAAAACCATTTTTACAAAGATAAATCTAAGTGCAATGAAAATCAATGAAAACAAAAATGACAAATACAAATTACTAAATCAGTAACATTTCCTAATAATATTTTTAGCGATGAAATTGCACAATATGAAAATTGACAATGAAAGATTCAAAGAAAATTGTAATTTCACTGTTCCCTGGTTTACGACAAACCAAAATAGAAAAATTTTGAGATTTGTATAAATTTCCACCATATCTAGCATAAACCTAGAAAGTAATTAAAAAATGTTTAAACATCGGCCTATTATTTCGAAAAATAGTAGTTTCAACTGAAAAGTAGAATGACAACTTTTTTCTTAAATATTCGAATGTTCATGTAATTCACTGCCTATACGCGAGTATCTACCATTTAATTAGAAATTACATTATTGTACTTGAACTTTATTGAACGCTTTTATAACAGCGGCACACGATATAGAAGGTGCCTTCAAGCAATATATAAGATTGTAACTTAAAAACCACAAAAATACAAGAGAAATAATGAAAATTAAAAAAGAAAACAAGTAATGAAAAATATAGTTAGTTCAGAAAGAGCAAAATTAAAAGATAAAATTAAAACCTAATGACTCTGGACAAAGAAAACTAAATACATGAATGTACTGTATTGTAATTAAGAATAGCGCCACCAACATTTCTTGGCTTGTATTTTGGTTTCAGCCAGCCAGCCAATCAATTTTCAGGGCAACGAGCTTAACCCCAAATGCGGTGTATTTGAAAGATCGTGGTACTTTTAGGCCCTACATCCGGCGATTCTACATTAGATAAACTTATTTAAATTTGCATGTTTCTGACAGGATAAAATGAAACATATATTAGAAATTAGTGACAGAGAGGCATTGAGGTATGTAATTTCACGAGAGCTAAAGAATTATGGTCTGAAAGTCCCGAAGGATAAGAAATCGAACGGCAGTAGCTCCTCCGTCGTGTGTAAAGTTCACACACAACAGGTAAGAATGCGCCCGATAATCAGTGCCAGTCGTACGTAGCATAGGCCTAGTCCGAGGGGCCTAGCTAGGGCCTATGCCTTGCCACATACATATAGTTAGGCTTAGCCTATGCTTTTTATTGTATTGTAATAATAATAACAATAACAATTCTTTATTGGTCCTTTATTCAAATTGGAAATCGGAAATTCGGGCTAGGGACCCCTCACTCCGCTGGCTGGGGACCTGTCTGTGTGGTAGTTAGCTGCAGTGCACTGCCACTGCCATCCAACTTGACTTTATAATTAAAGAAAACATACGGATGCAAACATCGATCCCGCCTAACTGTCAATATGAGGGTTATTCGAGGAGCCAAGCGATCAGGCTCAAATCAAATTAAAAAAACCAAACGCTGCCTGCATGCATTTGAAATGGGGTCTTCATCAGCACAAGAAGCAGGAACAACAATCTCCTCAGCCAACCGCTCAGCGGCATTGTCTTTCTTGGCATGGATTTGGTTAAGCACATCTATCACTTGATGACAGTTTTTTAGCTTTTGCTTTTCCTCGGCACCTGTTCAACCCTCTTGATTTGGATATTTCTTTTTGAATGATTAAGAAAAATAAATAAATAGGGCCTACTGTAGGCTAGCCTAAAGCTAACAACAGTGTAGGCCGAAGCCCTGCACTAGGATTTTTTTTCGTTTTTTGTTTTCTTTTAATGGAAAGGAATAGCTTGGTTTATCAGGTCAGAGGATTTCACCTGGAGAGGGAGTTTGGCTAAATGTAGTACAGTCTGGTAGTAATTTGCTCAGAACTTGTATTAAAGTGGGACCAATTTTGAAAATTATTATTTTCCTTAAAAATAAGATTCTGCTTTGGTTAGAGAAAGATTATATGGTATTGATTATTAATTAATTATTCGTAAACCATGTGTATCATTTTTGCAGGAATTATGCTCATTTGGTTGTCCCCTCAGCTGCCTACCATCAGTTTCCGTCGATAATGAATCACCACATACCGTCCCAAGGTGAGAAACACTTTATGGCAGTCATAAAGTATGCAGTGGGTATTGTTACACCAGTCTTAAACTAAATCAAATCAAATCAAATCAAATATGCTTATATTTCCATACAATTAAAGTAATACAATATACAGTAAAAAATTTAGAAGTTGAAACAAATATGTTGTATAGAAGGAGGCTGCAATAAGTTCTGCAAGAAGAACCCATAGATCTTTAAGTACACCTTTTACAAAAAAAAATTGAAAAAATATTTACACTAAATTAAACTAATAGAATCACAGGAATGATATACCAATAAAATTATAAGAATTCCAGTCCAGTTTTATATGTTTTTAGAAAGTACAAGACCAGACACATTATTTTAAAAGACTCAAATAGAAATGGAAGGAAGAGAGGGAAAAAGTTAATTAATTGCCATACATAGAAACCAAAGACCTCTTATAGGTGATTTAAAACTATTCTAATTCTAATTGGATGTTAATGAATGTAAGGGTTAGATTAGGACAGTAACATCCAATTGATCAGAATTAGGAATTGGAAAGACTGAGAAGTAACAATAGCCACTGCCTATAAATTAAACACCTGCTGTGGTTAAAGCATGTTTAATTATGAACCTTAGGCCTATTCATGTCTCCAGTATTAAGTTGTATAGCTAGCAGTTAATTTTAATTTGCAAAACAAATTTATTAACCATGATAACCTCATGCTTATTTCTTCCCTGTTTTCCCTATAAATAAAGCTTCTGATAAAGCCAGTTGTACTGTATTTTTGTATTTGTTCTTTCAGATACTTAGTTGAGTGCGTAGAGTTTCTGAAATTGCATCTGAATTCAGAAGGGTTGTTTCGAAAGTCGGGATCAAAATTAAGGCAAAAGGAATTAAAGGTACAGTACTCATATTTTAAAGGTGAAATAAAAAAAAATTTAAGGGACCAATAATTTACAATAGGCCAATAGTCTTTAATGAATGTTCACACTACTTACTGTCAGGTCTCCTACCACCATACCATTGTTATGTTACTGGCATTTTTCCCCACTTAATAGAAAGAATAATTTTTTTGCCAACATGGGAACTATCAGAGCACCTAAAATAATAACTATTTGTTATATACACTTACATTATTATAAATCATTATTTATACTGTTTAATTATCAATTTTTCTTTAGCAAAATATCATAAATGGAGAGGTAATCCCAGAGAATTCACACTCTGCCGATGTTGCAAGTCTCTTTAAGGAATTTTTCCGTGAGCTTCCGGACCCTCTGTTCACCCTTAAGCTTCAAGAAACCTTCCTGAAATGTGCCCAGCTTGACGAAGAGTGGAAGCAGAAGAATGCCATCCTCCTCCTAGTAAACATTCTACCAGAGAGGCACTTCCACACACTGCTATACCTTATGAACTTCTTAAGCGATGTGGCAGCGCACTCTGAAAACAACAAGATGAATGTCAGGAACCTTGCATTAGTGCTGACCCCAAATCTCATCGGTCTGAACGAGAAGCAGGAAAAGAGCTCTACTCTGTCGGAGAAGATCCTTCGGATTTTTATGTCCGTGATCACTCTTCTGATAAAGCAAGCAGATAGGATAGGTTACATTTCAGAGACAATGGCTGAGAAGGTGCAGAATTTTGCCAATAAATCCTGGAGTACCGTTGATGGTGGATTGACATCTGAGGATGATCTGGATTGTAGTGGAGAGGCCATCCTTGATGAGAAAATAATTAAAAAGAAACGGAGAAGGAGTGGGTCATTACAAGGTAGGCACAATTGGTTTGTTAGTTCCTTAATTACCTGGACATGCCCTGCTAATATGTTGCATGTTAATTTATCAACCTAAATGGCACTTGTTTTACAATAACTTTTCCACATTTTTTAGTTGCTTTTTAAAGATATTTTATGGTTTTGTTTTGAGCTGGCATTGTTACACCATGTTTTCTATGTATTTAACTATATGGGTTATTTGGTCACTGGGTAGGCTTACAGTACTGTAAAAGTGTTTTTGAGTCATTTTAAACATATTTTTTTTCTTCTTAATAGCAAATATTGTATTAACTTTATTATCAATAATTTTTACCTAATCATACTAAAATTTGTGTTTACTGTCTTAGTAGTAATTATTTTTACCTAGTCATTGTAATTGTTTTACCTAGTCATTGTAATTTTTTTAACCTGGTCATAAATGTTTTTTCCAGGTCATATACAGGTAGTCATCCTAATTGTTTATAACCTGGGCAATGTAATTGTTTTACCTAGACATTGTACAGTACTCCTATCTGTTTTAAGTGGTCAGTGTAATTGTTTTACCTGGGGCGGATTGCTATAAAATGGTCTTAACTGGTAGTCTTAACTCCTCGAATAAAGCCGGCTTTATCTCTTAGACAGTCTTACTAAAGTCATTCCTCTAAGACCATTGCTATAAAACAGTCTTCCCTAAGACCGCTTTGAGTATTGAAACATAAACAAGGACTCCCTGGTAATGTAAGATTGAGGGCGCCGTCATGCATGCTCGACGCACGCAAATGTATCGAAATGAACGTAAATAAACACCGTAGACCTATTTTTACAAATGCTGAGAAGTGTGCAGAGTATTTGTCGTTCGATTCTCCTACTTTGACTATCTAGGCCCAAGTCTTGCCATTACACTGTTGAATTAATCAGCAGAACACCATGATGAAAATGATTTCAGACCGTTTTAAGCCTCCTAGTAGGCTTTAAAATTTTAGACGGCTAACTGGTTAGACAGCGGTATAGCAATGGTCTATAATCATAGACCAGTAGTGACATCACAATTATAGCCGGCTAACCGTTAAGACCGTCTAAAGGCCACTTATAGCAATCCGCCCCTGGTCCCGGGTCATAGTAGGCTATATTGTTTTAACATGGCCAGTGTAATTGTTTTACCTTGTCAATATCCTAATTGTTTGTAACCTTGTCATTATGATTGTTTCACCTGGTTTTACCCAGTTATGGTAATTGTTTTACCTGGTCGTGGTAATTGTTCTTAACTTGTCAAATAATATATTTTTCTTATTCATGTGTTGAACCACTTTTTCTATTATTTTGTGTTACATTTTTTTCACCATTTATCTTGCACCATTTTCTTCATTTCATGGCACATGCACATAATCCATGTTTCATCATTCCAGATGCTGTTAGCAGTCTTGGATCATTCTTTACATCTCCATTTGTCACTAGTGCAATAGGTATGATGTTATTAAGATTAATAATGATATTGATATAAATAATTACAGTAACTAGCATGTACCCAATATCAAAGTGAATTTGTATCTTTTCAAAGTATTCTGTAATTCCAAAATACTGTGTTCAGCTGATGTAAACAAATAATTTGTTAAATGGGTTTAGATCTCAATCGAAAATTGACATATTCCATGCCAAACAACAGATACATAAATAATGGTGTTTAATTGCTTGGTAGATTGATTTTACAGGTTTTTGTAGTAAGAAGCAGTGGTGGCGCCAGCGGAGGGCAGGGGGACATTTTCCCTCCTGTTGGACTGGCATGGACCCACATCATCCAATTCTACAACGAGGTCGTCGGATCAAAAATAAAAAAAATAATAATGTGCCTATCCAAGTAACGTTATTTTGATTGTAAATGTCAGTCCCTAATATTGTAGTCCAAAAGCACAATTGTGTCCATACAAAAAAAATTAAAAATAAAGCATGAACATTTGATTTTTTGCACTGGTATATTGGTGGAATCTGTTAATTAAAGGTACAATAATATTGGTTTGGTTACACTTAAACAATCAGAAATTATTAAATTTAACTTAACCTAACTATGAATTTTCACTAGTTCAAACCCCTATACGTAACCAAGGAGTCAACGAGACACCAAAGATAATGCGGTCAAAACGGAAGGCCAGTGAAGATAGTGGTGCTTTTACATCAGCCAAGAGGTGAGTTTATTTACTCATGATTTTAATAGTTATTGAAACATGAGGATTGCAAATAGCCAATTGTTTTTTAAATGTTTTTCTCCAGTCCAAGGGTTGTATACAAATTTGCACCAACCAATTGTTACTCTATAATTTTAACCAGACAAATTAATTAATTGTCAAAGAAAATTATTAACAAAGAAAGAAAAATATTTATTGATACCAACATTTTGTTTTATAATAATGTTTGCAAGTTTAATGGTTTTAAGTATATGGGATAACTTACAAATCAATACAAAATCATGCCGTACTATATATGAAAATATATCTGTATAGCGCCCTCTAACACTTCAATACTGTCATTTCTATACAGTATTTTTGGTTGCTGTAACATATTCAATTACTGTAATTATGATGGACAAAAGTTTCTTTGTTTTATAATGAAAGTATAATATACAAAATCTATGTGAAGGGTGGAATGCAGTTGTAAATATGTTCTTTTCATACAGGGCGTAACTGTCTTGTAAAGTTTGTACAAACTTGACAGCCCATATTAATGAAGTTTTTTCCTGTTTTGAATAGGTTGTACAGTAATGTACACATTAGGATCCTTTTGCATAAGTCAAATATCCTAAAAACCTTCTATAAAACTCCTGCAATATAGATATGAACAATGGCTATGAAAAAAAAACTCAATGTAAGATGCAAACAAATAATATAAATAAAAATCAAAATAATTACAGTAAAATAAAAAGTAGCATTGTAAAAGCACAGGTGATAAAAAAAAAAAACATTTTTCTCCCTGGGCATGTTTAAGCTCTTGGATTGGATACAAAGAATAAAAGAAGGCGGCGCAATCATTAGATAAAAAGCCATTGCGTACACACCAACATCTAGAAAGGCCCTTTATTTTAATCCAGTACCGAGTGAGTTGGTCATTTGTATCGCTAATAAAATACTTAAAGCATGTATGTACATACAGTATTTCATTCATTCTGGTACGTTAATTCACGACGTGCCATGAAAGATTTGGCCTTTTCTAGATAACAGACAGCACAAGAATTCCTTGTCAAGCATCACAATTTTGAAAAAGTGTGTGTTCTTGTTTTTTCATACTGTACACACCAGTTGACAAATGATTTTATATCTGGGAAGGATGCTGTTATTAGGCATGGATCTACTAATTCAATATCTGTCCTTGAGTTTCTGATTTTGCATGTCTGACAAATCAAATTTGACCTCCTTCCAAAGTATTACTCATAAATCTATGTTATTATCTCCTGTAGGATACATCTTTAAAACAAGGATCAATGTATCATCGCATAACTCATATTTCACGTTAATTTTGAATACATTAAGTTTTATAGTAACACAAATTCATCTTTAATTATATCATTTTATGTATTTAATATTGAGCCTTAAGATAGTATAGATTCAAGAGTGGTTTTAAAAGACAGTAGATTTTTTAGATGTGTCTAACCCCATCAGGATCAATATGTCAAAGGTATTATAAAGGAGATTTGATGCCTACTTTATAAAATGCTTTTCATAATCATTGTTATATCAAGGGCATAGAAAGTTTTGCGAATATTAGGCTTACTAAGGCCCCAATGAGGTCTAGGGGCAGAATCCCAGGGGCTAAGACCCTTTGAACTATGACTTCAGATATGTGTTTAGAGAAAATCTTTATAATGTATACTGGCAATATATTGCTTTATTTTGCCTTTTTATCTAAGCTTAAAAGTGAAAAACAAATTTGTAGAATTCATATCAAAAAAATGTGCATCAACCTGGAATCTGATAAATAATAATAATGTAATTTAAGACAAACTTCAGTCAAAAACATGCATTTTGTATTCATTTCATCACTATCTTCCATACTGTGAACTTCTTTTTAAGTATCACTGTAATTGCACTAATTATTATTATAGTTGCTGATGTTATCTGAATCTGAATATATACTGACAGAGGACCCCACTGGGATATATGCGTCAGTTAAGGTTATGTCCTTAATCTTATGTTGCACATTTTACATTTTATAATTATGTTTATCCATACGGTTCTACTGTATTTGGTTTACTATTAATTTCATATTAGGAAAGCGTTATTAAAGCAACTTCCAGCTGATCAGAGGTTTAGTAAACGTAGAGCACGTAACCATGACAACATTCAGACCACACCCAGTACCTACCAAGGCCCAGCCCTAGGTGAAGTTGGTAAGTAATTGAATGCCTTAACTTGTCATTTCTGTTAGTGTTTAGTATCTGTATTTTTGTAACAATATTTATCTGGATATTGTGGGTTTGATTCTCACCCAAATCACTTGGCAAGATAATGTACTGAGCATTCAGTACAATAACATGTCAGGTAGAAAAAAACATTATTCTTATTTACTAATCCTTTGATGCAAAGCATCATCTGAATTTTTAATTAATTACTCAATGATGTGCAGTGTCTCATGTCCAAAGCGCGTGCACATTGTTGATTCATTTCGAGGAAGAATACTCCTCTAAATGCGAGCCATTACAGATCAAGTGATACTGAGGTGATGGAATAATTATTTAAATCTCTTACCACCTGGTAATGATCTACAGTACCACTTTGTTTTGGCTACTAGCATTGCTAGCGTTTAATCACGCAAATGAAGTCTTGAAGTTGAAATATCACCATTCATGCAGCCATGTGGAAGTATAGTGCACCCTCTATAATTCAGTTTAACATTACAACCACTCCGCGATAACACTATGTACTCCATACAATGTACTACTCGAAAGGCGTCGTTTTGGGATAGTAAGAAAAGCAACGAGAACCCGAATCCAGTTACATCATTTTAAAACTGGACGTACACTGTGTCAACAGATGAAACCATACCCACTCTCTGGGCTTGACGACACGTCCCCTCTGCTTATTATTGGTTGCTGTCTGAGCAAATCTGTTGGACAAGTTGCATTGTCCACAAATCACGTTGGCTGACAAAAATTAGCGAAGTGTGTGTATACAACATCAACAATATGCGGAACTGAAATTTGAAAATATTAATGCATACTTTTAAAGAATATAATATATTTATAATTTTTATATGTTGTATATAAATATTTTTTTTGATATGAGAATTTGGAACAGAATCGGTGCATAAAAATTACGTTTTCTTTCAAGTAAGCTTCAGTTCTTTAATAATAATACTAAAAAAATTATAGTTAATAGGTTTTGGTACTAAGCAGTCTTCCGAAAAATGAAGGTTATTTTAATATCGATCCCGAAATACATGTAGGGCTTAGGCCTAGGCTCTATCTGCAGTGCAGGGTATGTAGTATGTGTGTTGTGTTGGGTGGGCGTCTGTGTGTAGTAGTGGTCGTTACTCTGCGGCCTTAGGCCTAGTTACGTACGTATAGATGGAGCCTAGCGAGGCAGGATTTAATGTTTTTTCATGGTATTATGTACCAGTTATTATAGGCTAGACATATATAAATGCTGACTTAAAACATGTAGTATGATTTACTATACTAAATTAAAATATATATATATATTTTTTATTTTTCAGCAAACGTGTAAATCTTAACAAGTTGCAGCTTGCTAGAATTCTATGTTCTTTGATGAGATGTACTAAATCAGCCATAGCCTCTAACATGCCAATGAACCAAGCAAAGCCTTGTTGACTGCTGCCAAGAACGCTTTACTAGCAAAATGCTAAATAAATATTAATATTTATAAATTTATAGGCCAACTGCAATGTGTAAACACTGTCTCTAAAAGTAAACAAATTGATGAAAATTGTTTGTTTTCTTCATTTTGTGTAATACTTTCATGTTGCACAGCGCGTTGAAAGGCGTCACAGCGCATCGCTACAGGAGGCGATCGCTTCATGAAAAAAATCTCCCTATTTTTTGGTTTTCAAACTTGGGATCTCTGCATTTCTCATGCAGAAACTATCATCAAATCTTTAAAAAGTGTTGCTTTAACATTGAAAATTGGGAAAATAACAGCATAGAATGATGTATAGATATGTAAAGATTAGTTTAGTGCAATAAAATAGATTTTTTAAAATTTGACATTAAAGCATGTTTTGGCCATTTTCTCTGAAACACGATTTGCGACGAGTGACTGGTTTGGCTTGTCTTTGCCACATTTTATAGAAATGCACAACAGTATTGTGCATTGATTATAGGAACATCTCATATCTATTTATTTCAAGCTGCCCTCCTGTACAAAATATGATAAATCAAACTTTCATAATTGATTAGGAAAGTCCATTAAATTATTTATTTTACTACAACAACCTTCATTTTTTTTTGTGTGTGAAAAGAGGATATCACACAAAATTGAGGATGGTTAGATTTTTGCAGGCTTTTTTTGGCGAATAAAAAACTAATAAAACAACAAGAGGCAGCCCGTAAAAGAAAAATAATATGAAGGAAATGATGGTAAACATTTTTTTTTATATCTCTATTTGTATTTTTGATGGTTACTACTTCAGGATGCCAGGGTCCCTTCAGATTGAATTTACATATGACAAACTTAACCCGTCCCTTCACATATTGCACTCAGCACTAAAGCCCACGCACCTGCTGCTTATCAGCAGAGATATCTTACTGATCAGGATGTCTTCCTCTTAATGTGAGATCTTTGGATGACATCGTCACTAGATTACTAGAGATTACTGTGCAAGGCAGTGTGGTCTCTGGAAGGGCATTAAACCCGATGACAATATTTTTTTTTTTCGTTTTTGTCAGATTCATTAGTATAGAGTGGCATGCTTCTTCTGAAGCTATTGGATTTTTTTAGAATCTCCAAATGTGTGCTTTGCTAGTATGAACCTAGTACAATGGTAGCGCCAACCAAAGGTGGTTTCAGTTCCTGATGTTACCTCCGGAACAGTTTGATCCCCTGCAACAAGTTCATAAAACAACCACTGACCAAGTGCACAAATTGGAAAGAAGCAGCTTAAACATTCAATACACACATTGCTAATTTTCTATTCAATATTTGATGTTCTTTTTTGATTTGATTTATTCAATATGTTCTTTAATATACAAAACAGAATCAAATAAACATCAAATCAAATCGCCAAAAAAAGTGTATTGGGGATAACCCTAAAATTACGAAAAAAGAAAATTATTTCTGTAGGAGTCCTTTAAATTAGAGGAAAATATTCTTTAGATCATCTTTACTCCTGAAATTTTTGTTCAGATTCACGATGTTCAAAAATGATACTAATCAAAAGTGAACATTTACTTAGTTTGTAGGTTAGCCATTGACCCCGAGCCAGGAGTTCAGTAGGTTGTGCCCCAGTGGTGTAGGCCCTCTGATGACGTTGGCATTCTTAAGTACAAACCCTGTATTTGTATCATCAGTAGACAAAGTCTAATCAACACTAGTGTTCATTGTCCAGTGAGGTAATCCTTATGACACTTCCCTGAGGCGATCAGTCTCTAGATGGTGTAAGATATTCTCTAGATGATACGCTTTGGACATAATTTATGCAGCGCCATCCTCGTGCTTGAGTGTGTTGCCATGACAGCTGAAAGAATCTCCTTGTTTGAGCAGTAAACTACTTGTGCCAATAAGCGTGCCGCATATCTCAAAGTTTACCATAAATTTCCTTCATTGCTTTACATTTGACCTATTTTTAGGGCTTCTCAACATTATTAAACTTTTCTTGCGCAATAGGTCTACGTTGTCATGTGCCAGCTAAGCAATCTGCAGTCTGTCGTCGAGCAATTGTAGGCCTACTACTAAAATTGGTTTTAGAACCAGTCAATCTATAGTGTTAACTAGTGTGTAATGTGACAACTAGTATGAGTTTATCACCATCATAATCATCATCGATTATCTTAAACATCATTACCACCATCATAGTCATTACCATCATATCATTTTCATAATCATCATAATCATCATCACTTTGAACATCATCATCATCATCATTTATCATTATATTTCATCATCATCAGATCATCATCATCACTGTTTTAGTAATAACTTTTTATAAACCTACATCTATCACATCATTTCCTTGCTTTTAAATTTTTTAAATTTTTTTTATTTAGGAATGGTAGCTTCCCAAACTCCTTTCTTTTGAATCATTTAAACTTCCCCTTCAGGTAACAATTTTGTACCTCCATGGTTTAATTTACAATTAGTTTACCAAATTATCATTGACCTGTTACTGCCTCGCCCTTTTCCCCCAAGGTCATTTCTATATCATCATCATCTGACTGGCAATGAAGACATGACCTTGCTCAAGTTGCCAAATTGCTTTCACTTGGTAGTACAGCACCAGAATGTAAACAAGCAATACAGTATAATATTACCACAGAACATAATGTCATAACATCCCATGTATAAAAATGAAAATGTGCTGTAGAGTAGTGGAATCAAGGAGAGTATTGAGGTTTCTATTAAAACTCCAAGAGTAAAAACAAATATTCTATTAGTGTAATGGTTAGGAAAACTGATATGAGTTGTTATTCCTAAAGGCCCTTTTATCTTACAGACTTTATTCTTACAAACTCAACCCTATAAACATGACCCATATATTACACTCCCATGGGCCATGGGTATGTACTTTCCCCTTCCTAAATGTTCCTCTCCTCACAAACTCAGCCCTAGTTAGTTCAACCTATAAGTTTTGGATTAATTTATGGGGAGGGATAAGGCTAAATGTAGGGGTAAATAAAAAGAGAGGAGTTGAGTGGATACCCATTAAATAAAGAAGCTTACTGTAGTAGTCCTGTTGTAATTTACGAGCTTTCATCTAAGGCTTCCTGTTCAACACATGCTTTAATACTGGTTATATTCAACATGTGAAAATAAGCTGTTGTTCTTTATCATAATTAATCATAGTCTTGAAAGCTGCCTAAAATCATCTATTTGCAAATGTTACCAGTTGACTCAATAGTTGAGTCAGTTCCTCCACATAAAGTATGGCTATATTTTTCAAGTCTGTCCATGTCACCATGTACAACAAGTGCTATTTTGCCAATTACAAAAAGATTCTGTGAATTTATTATAATTTTAGTTCTATAAAATGGAATTAAACTTTTAAAATAAAATAAAAGTATAAATAAATGGGATTCACATTTATTTACTTCATAGGTATGTGGTATAAATAAATGCTTCCTAAGAAATAATTTTAAATATGTCATGTATATTCATATTATTTTATAATGTAATTTTAAATTTTTTGTTAATAGTCATTTTTAACTGAGTTTTTGCC